TTTTTTATACAAGCCCCCCTCCCCCCGAATATAATACACCCCCTATAAAGCCACCATTAAAACCCCTTTTTTTCTCTGTACTTGTATATCATACGGTCACCCGTAAGTGTGAATGCTTTTAAATCCAGGTTGACAAGTGTGCTTTTCCCAATTTCCCCATTCACGATCACGGTCTTTCAAAGTATTTTTAAAATCGCGTTCTCCAAAATCTTGTCTAGCACCGTCTTTTTCAGCAATGGCAGCGAGCTACTTTTTCTTGCTTTGATTTGCGCCAAACTGTGATGAAAAGTGCTTTTAAATGCTCCGTTTTTCATGATGCGAAGCATGACGGTGAAATGTCACCATCTAGTGGATGTAGGAAATAATGACAGTACATGGAAAGACGGACATGGAATTTCACATCAATTCCACTGGCTCCCACATTACTCAGCAAGCGCAGAAACCTTCGGTGACTCTCCAAGATGCAGATGGCTAAGATCATGCCCAACATGGGCGCATAAGTGCCGCTAATAGCTGTTGCCAATGCTAGCAGGCTAATTTGGCGAACGGATCCACGATCACACAGACTATTATAACTGCTGGATGCGACCACGGATCATGTGCTTACTTATTTTTAATTTTTGTGTCATTAGCGCAGTGCTGAGAAGCAGGTCAGTGAGTTCAGTAATAAGGAGTTAGAAGGTAACTATGCTCTTATTTAGCTGGCAAAAAAAACAAAAAAATTTCAGCAAAAGGATATAATATTGTCCAAGGTGGGTGACCCCCGTTGATGTAGAGCACATACGTGAATCCATCTTTCAAGACGCCATGTATGGAGTAGTAGTAGGGCAGGTAGTGGTGTTGCTTGAAGTCCCTGTTCTCGTAGAAGTGTATGGCAGTGTTGTTGGTGGTGAGAACATGCAGATAGATGGCCTTACAGTGGTCCTGGGCTGTTGTGGAAATGTGCTCCTTCAGACTGTCCAGCAGTAAGGAGCCTGAATCGAGACACGGGTGGAGAAGGATCAAGCGGTGTCAAAATACATCAGCTTTTTTGATTTGGATTCAGTTTAGGATTTCGGGGTGGTCATGGTGACCCATGTCGGACAATGTTTGGCATTCTTGTGAGCGCTTTAGGTCAAGTCACTTACCTATGCCGTGTTTTCTGAACTCTTTAACCACTCCCAGGCTGAGGATGTAGGCTACCTGTGTGTCCACAGGGAAACTGGATGCAAGAACATCTCCGTCCTGACACCCACATGCATGCAAAAAACACAAACCAATTGACATTGGCGTATGAATTACTGTCATATGTGGTGTACAGTGGTATCTTGACTTCAGAGTAGAATGCAATGAATAAAACGGCTTACCTCTTTATGTACTTTGGTCCGACCTTTGATCTCGGCCACAATCATTCCCACAATGCCTCCTCTGAAGGTGGCGGCGAGAGAAAAGAACTTCTTGTTCGAGGTGATGTCCTGGTACCATGAGTCTGGGTACCTGGGGTTGCGTCACAGGTCAAAACAAGTTGTTAATTCAGCGATCCAGCCCCGAAAGCTTGAAGACGCGAACATGAAACGTCAAAATGGGCTCATTATAGCGAAATGTTATCTCCATAAATGAACTCTTACTCGATTGGAAACCAGTCACCGCAGAGCAGTTTCACGCTGTCTATGTCATCGTGGCACAGGAACCGCAGCTGGACTTCACTGAGAGCTGTGGGAGGCACCACGTCACTCATTCACACCTGCAGTGGAAAAAAAAGAAACAACCAGGGAGACCGAATGAGTCATTGTTGCCGCTCAAAATGAACGACAGCACGATACTGGAAAATTATGCGTGTTGAATATAGCGACAGATACTATTGCGATATTTAATGTGTCCCTAAATAAATGACATGTTTACGAGCTAATGAAAGAAACGTTTTGGGGTTTTTTTACAGGCAGCAGAATAACCAAGATCAATGTGATTCGAAGCTAATTACTTGGAATGCCCCGAGACAGTGTTCACCTTTTGTAAGGCGATGCAAATAATAAAGGAGCATTCATTTACTCTGCAATTACAAAAATTGCTTTCAGTCCAATAATATCCAAAATGCATTGCACTTCTGATCAACAGGAAGTAGCGATGACACATCATCAATTACCAAGTACAGAACTAAAGATATAACCGCTTCGTCCTCAAGTTGGTCTTTCAACAGAACGGGAAATAAAAAGCAGCTGACAGCAAGAACAATGTCAGGAAGTCGAGAATTGATGTGACACGCGGGGAGAATGGTAGTGATGACAAATGGATGTCAAACAGAGGACAAAAAAACGAGAGTGCCGAATGTCGGAATTTCGAGCTTGTCATTGTAATTTTCGTCATATAGGTTTGCAAAATCACGCATGATTCCACTTGACGCGAACCGTGGTCAAAATGTCTGCACAACTTGACCACACAGCTTCGGGTAGTAACACCGATTTCACCATTTGGGTAAAAGGTCTGCACAATTTTACCTCACAGTTTAGGAAAGCGCCGCCGATTTTTAAGCTTCAGTCATGCAATAGAAACAATAACAATAGTAAATACGTGAAAAAGATCGGACTTGGGGGAAACAGTTGGCCACTGCATCACGTCAGCTAAAGGCAGCTAAGCTAATCTTTTGGCTAAGCTAACGTGTTCCTACCTTATTTCAACTCTCACGCCGAAGGAAAGTCAAGGGGGTTTATATTGTTTGGTTATAAACCGGGCGGCTCCCTACTTTGGATGCAGCATGACAAAACACACGGCCACTCTTGATTCTCATTACGGTCATCGATGCGAGAGCGAAGCTAAACCAAGCGACCCTGGTCAAAGCTCGCGACCGGATGTTTTTTTTCCTGTTGACTGCAGCCGCGGAATGACGTCACGTTTCCCCGATGCTGGCCTTTTTTGCTACTTCCATCTACTGGCCATTTAATGTATCGCTACCATCGTCACAGTACAACGACGCACACTGTGTTTCGGAATCTTTTTTTTTTCAACGTGTTTAATCTTTTATGAATGAAAAAAACATAATAATCTTATTGTTTAATGTCCATTGCATGTTTGTAATTTTAAGTATCTTTGTGAAGCAGAAAGAAGAAAGGGTGTATGAATGGTAATGGAATACTGTCTAAGTAAAAAGATATTGTTACTGTGTATACTGCATGAAATAGTAGAATGTTAGCAAGACAAGACAACTCAAATGAACACCATGTTGTTATTTTAGCTGCAGGTAGAGCGCATATGCTATGATATGGAATCTTTTGAGCTCAAGTCCTTGGCTCCAAAACAAGACCTTAAATAAACCTTCTTATCTGGCATTCATGGCATCTGTTGCCTTCCCGGCGCTTGGCCTGCCACTAAACATTTTAAAATAGCATATATTAAATATTAAAGGACAGAGAAATACATTTTCGTTTTGCGTCTGGATGACAAGGACACGGTGAATGTCACGCAAAGGTCATTAGAAAGGAAAGTGTTTTTATCAAGCAAAGTTCTCTCAAACAAATTTATAGGTGGTGTGTTAATAATTAATTTGACATCACTGGTTATTTTCTACTTGTATATGATTTAAAGTCAGTATTTATGGGGGGGGGGTTCAATCTCAACCTTTGTGCCCCCCCCCCCCCAAATAAATTGAAAATACACATGCCGTTTGCTGTGAACCTCCTTCATTGCCATGTGGTGACCTCCAGCATGGCTCCCACCCTCTGTCCTATCCACAATACCCCGCCTATCTTTCCTCCTGGCCAGCACGATGTAGTCACATGCACCCGTGGTCAAATAAAGACAAAAACAATCACTGATTCCGTTGACAAGTTCCAGTGGTACCTTTGAGGAGCCACGCTGACAACAGGCCTTCTCATCAACACGCTGGCTATGAGGATCAGGTAGCTACTATGTGCTTGCCACGATAAAAACCTTTTCTTATTCAATCACCGTGAACAGGATACAGCAGTGTTTAAAAGTCATTTTCCTTCTTTCTGGGTATCGTAAGATCAGAATCCTCACGCGTGTGTTGCCGAAGTTGGAAGCCGATAGCCAGATGGAAAGGACGAGCGCTGTAGAAAATGGATGGATACTATTCGGAGGGATGGCAGGAATTTCATCACTAATCTTTGCATTAAGTCTTTGTGAAATTTGGTGTGTCTAATGTAAAATATCTCAAGCCCAATAAAGGTTGGGAAACACTAGCCTCATTGATAAACCATGCGGGTACAATGCATGTCCTTACAGCGTTGAACCTGGGAAACCTTTGAACACACTTTAAAGGTAACTTTGGTCTAACCTGAGTAATGCATTATCTTGTAAATGTAATATTTCACCCAGCATAAACCGCAAAACATTCCCCTGAGCTTCAGTCAAAGTCATCGCCTTTCTTTTGCAATGCGATGCCAAAATTTTGGAAGCGATTCATTTTCTCGATCGTTCGGCGACCTCCGTGTGACCCGCAGGATGCATCCGGTGTGCAGCTTGGGTCTGTTTTTGTCCCTTCTGCATCTGTCTGCATCTTTGCTGTTGGGAGCCTTCAACATCAAGTCTTTTGGCGACAAGAAAGCTTCCAACGCAACCTTGATGAACATCATCGCCAAGGTCAGAGACCTATGCTGTATGACAGTGGCATTTTCTCAGTAGTATTTCATACTGGATTGCTTGGGGCGGTTCCAATTTTTAAAGTCACCAAATAAGATGCAGAAAGTATCAGGAAAAAGCTGAAATTCTGCTTTAGAGTCGAGGTGGCCCAACCATACACTGAGTCTGGTCCGGCGACGTGTTATCAGTCTCATTTGGCTCATGTAATTGTTATTTCCGTTGTTCCTGTTTATTGGGCTTTTAAATGTGGTCTCAATGAAATGTTGCAATTTTGTATTTGATTGACACCTTGCCAGGACTTGTTTATTGACAGACATAGCCAGCTACGTTACCAGGGCGTGGAAGATGGATGACGCCGTATTGTGTATTGACCCATGTGACCAAGAGCAAACACATTAACGATTCATTTTGTGTCGCTGTTCCAGATCGTCCACCGATATGACATCATACTGATCCAGGAAGTCCGAGACAATGACCTCTCAGCCACCCGAAAACTCATGCACCATGTCAACAAGTTAGCATGAATATAAAGCGTTATGTATTGTCGTTGAAAGAGATTTGATGAGATCAACACAATAGTATCAAGGAACATTAGAAACGCTCACTAATTCATGCTGTTTGTTTTTTTTTTTTCAGAGGTACTCCACGATTTAGGTACAAGCACATCGTCAGTGAGCCTTTGGGTCGTAGTTCCTACAAGGAACGATATCTCTTTCTATATAGGTACACACCGGGGTTATAATATAGTCGGGTTTTATTTTGTTTTTTCAAATTCTGTTCATTTTAATTAGGTTTCAGAGCGGGTTTGTTTGTTTTTGTTAGTTTTATATTCCTTCATTTGATTTGGTTTTTATCAGATCTAGTAATAGTATTAGTTTTCTTATCCATATATGGCACAGCCTATTTTTGGAGTGCAAGATGAAAAAAGGTCACTAAGTATTCCCAAATGACAGCTCAACCTTTTTTTTATTTTTTTTTGTAGTGCCAAGGACGCAGATAACATTGCTTTATATTCCTTAAACTTTTTTTTTTTTTTAATTTGGGATGCAGCACGCATAACCACATAGACAGCTCAACAGGCTGCCCATCGAAGATGTCAGGATGAGAACAAACTAAAAATGGAAAAGGTTTATAAGAGGAAGCTTGTCCGGAAAACAAAGCTGAAATGCAATATATCAGCAGCCTGTGATATTGTTTCCTTCTTAGGGAGGAGACCGTGTCAGTGGCCAAAAGCTACACTTACGATGACGGTTGTGAGCCCTGCGGGACCGACACCTTCATCAGGGAGCCCTTTGTCGTCATGTTCTCTTCAAATGACACGGGTAGGCACTGGAAGAGATGATTCAATGAATGCTAAATTACAGTGGTCAACAGCAACAATTTTCAGTCATGACGGCTTTGTGTGTCTGGTCAACAGCAACAATTTTCAGTCATGACGGCTTTATGTGTCCCGAAATATATTTTGGATGCTGATTTTAAAAAAATGTCTACTTTTTTTTCTATGTGTCCCGAAATATATTTTGGACGCTGATTTTTAAAAAATGTCTACTTTTTTTCCTCGCACATCAGGTTTTGGGCTTATTTTCATTTTTTGTTTTGACCTTCAAAAGGCTTGCGCTCGCACATCAGGTTTTGGGCTTATTTTCATTTTTTTTGTTTTGACCTCCAAAAGGCTTGCACAATCTAGATTTTACCATGCATTGTCAGTTATAGCGATGATGTTTAAAAAAAAAAAAAAACTCCCCGCTATTTTTAGGGGAAGATTTGTTCACTATGCCAAATTGCTACTTGCTGTGAAGTGGTTGCATGAGGCATATTAATAAAGTGCAGCCGTCCAGTTGTCGCGGTTTTATGACTGCTGTGAAAAAGATCAACAAATCAACAGAGTGGCCTCAGTCTTTGGAACAGTGAACTGCAGATGCTTTCTCCCCACTTCGAAAATGATTGGAAAGAATATTCACTTCCTGATCTTTTTTCCCGATTCCCTTCTGCTTCTAGCTGTGAGGAATTTTGTCCTGATCCCACAACACACATCGCCAGACTTGGCCTTGCAGGAAGTGGACGAGCTGTACGACGTGGTGACCGATGTCCGCACCAGATGGCGCAGCAATGTGAATCTGATTTTATTGAGCCAGAAAGGCTTCGCGACGGCGGATGAATGACAGCCATACGTCGGACCTGCAGGACATCATCCTTCTCGGCGACTTCAACACGGACTGCAGCTATGTCGCGGGCTCCGAGTGGCAGCAGATCCGCCTCTTTACGGACAAGAGCTTCCATTGGCTGATCCCCGATGAGGCAGATACCACGGTGTCGCACACCGACTGCGCGTACGACAGGTAGATACGCACAAATTCTGCCGTGCAGACATTCATAGCCAAACCAACCGAGAAGGATTACTTGTCGATGTGGGTTGGTGAATTTTCTCTTCGTCAAAGTGGAACATTTGATACAGAGACCTTGGATGGTACCTCAGCAGTCCCAAGCGGACCCTTCACAGCATTCCACCTTGATGTGTTTTTAGGATCGTGGTGACGGACGACATGAAGAAGGGAGTGGTGGACCGCAGCGCTGAGGTGTACGACTTCATGGTGGATCTGAATCTCAGCTTCGGGATGGTAAAAATGTTTGTGGAGTGGACGCTGGCACATTGCAAATACGCGAGCAATACAGCACCGTCAAAGATACTGGCGAGTGTCTTCTCTTATTTATTTCACTATTCCTCCACCAGGAGCAGTACTAGTGCTTCAGTCGCTCGTTTGCGCCCTCCCGCATCAGACAAACTCGTCTCATCATCCTCTCCAAACAGCTTTGTTGAGCTTTTGGGGGCAGTCCCATCTCGTACAAATGGGGCCCGCCCATCTCGATTAATTGTTCAAGCCATTGTTAACTCCTGCTCCTTTCGTTTGAGGCAGCTGTCTGAAGTCAAGCCTCTCCTTTCTCAAGGGCACTCGGAAACGGTCATTCATGCCTTTTATCAGGGAGGCAACACACTGCCAAATCACAATGGTCAATTCATACGTGGGTCTGTGCATGCGGACTAGAATATGCAGGTTCTCTTCTTTTCCGTAGAAAATCAACTTTTGGGAATAGACAGAGTTGACGATGCTGGGGCACAGAAATACCGTTTATGTGTATATTGTCTTTCTTTCTCAGGCGTTAGCTGTCAGTGACCATTTCCCCGTGGAGGTGAAGCTGCTTGTTTAAGCCCGAGACTGGCGAATTCCCCCCCTGCGCAATCTCAACATTCACCGGGACTCCACAAGAATCACATGAATTAAATCCCTGCCCTGCTAAATCCAGTTACTACTCCGTCCGCCTTTTGTGACTTCATGCATGGCTATTGAGATGTTTCACGTGGACCATTTGGTGAACATTCAAACACAATTTCGCCTGCTTATTTGTACCGTGACATGTTAAGATTCAAAATGCGAATTACAAATGATTCACATTCTTGAAAAAAGGAAAATAGTCTTGTCACCGTGACGCCGATCCTTAATGGTATTGCATAATAGGTGCAGTTGTGCAGTTTGCAGAATGATCAGAATTTATTTCAAAGCCTGGTGTTGTACACTCATGGCTTTTGTTAGTACACAAATGCACGTGGATCACTGTACACCAGTGGCATTAATACACTTCAAGGCTGCAACAGCTCCCACCCCCTCTCAAAAACAAAATAAAATAAAAGTGGATTTTAACCATTAAAAGTACATTCCAAGTACAAACCAGAGACAACTGAATACAGAGGTGGGGGGATTGCACCATGGTATGGGTTAGGTCAGGCAAGCTTCATTTGTTCATCCTCTCAAACAAATTGAACTCATTTACGACATTATATTGCACGGACATGTGAACAGGCCTTCAATATCCCGACGTGTCCCCCCCCTGCCTCCCCTTCGGAAAATAAGTACATTTTCTTCATATCGTACATCCGTGTTGAACCTGAAGCGGCGGTGCCGGACAATGACGTGTTCGTATATATAAGCGGAGCTATTGTTCGCTTCGTCAAGTCGGTGTGAGATGACTTCAGATCACAGGCCTTCGCGTCCGACATCATCCCATTAAGCCTTCCTCTTTTTGAGCATCTCCAGATAAACGCGGAGTGAATTCTGGATGGCATCTTTGGTGATGAAACTCACAAAGTTTTGGACATCGGCCTCTCTTTTGGATGTCATCCTGTCGACGGTCGGCTTCCTCATCATGGATTTGGTGAGCTGTCTGGCGTGGGCTGTGAAACAAAGAAGATGGCTGGCGAAGGTCAGTGACACCGAAAAGGCATTCGTTGGAATGTTTATCGATTTAAAAATCAAAAAAGGTTGATGGGATTCTCCCAAAATTGAACACGGGTGAGAGCCGGCCGGGACAGAAAGCCCGATGTGCTGGCCTGCGGCTCCTCCCACCATCACACACCTGGAATGGCCAACCACTTGGCCATCGCCTGCTCGGCTGTGCTCATGAGCTTCTCTTCTGGTACTATCTGGTCCACCAAGCCGATCTTCAGAGCCTCCGCCGGGCTGTAGAGCATCCCCAGAGCCAGGGCCATCTCGGTGATGCGGTGGCCCACTGTATTAGCCATGGTGTCCTTAAACCTGCCAGCAGCCCACCAAAGAAAGAGCTACGTGTCACCCCAATCATCATAAACATCGGTCCCAAATTTGCCCTCAATGTTGCGATGGGCTTAAAGTATTACCAAAAAGGTGCAACGATGCCGAGCTGAGTCTCATTAAGGCCGATGCTATACCGTGGGTTGTCCACCATTATTCTGTAGTCACACGTCAAAGACATGAGACAGCCACCTGCAGGACTGGAGCCCTGTGGAAGCAGGGAAAACAACGGTTAGGTTTGTTTTTGGTTTTTTTCTCCCAGTCAAGGTTTTAGTACTGGTTACGATGAGAGAAAAGGGATTTCGTTTCAAGACACTTTACGTTGATTGCGGCTACGGTGACCATGTTGGAGCTGTAGAGTTTCAGCCACATCTCCTGAACGGCTTTCCAGAACTCCCCGCAGCTTTCTGGACTCTTGCCATACATCTCCAAGATGTCCAGCCCTGCCGAGAACACCTTGGGCAGACTCTAGATCGCAAAAAGCAGGACTTTCTTTGTGAACGGGACGACAAGACGGAGCAAATCGAAGGGGCTATCTAAACAGCCACGCCTCATTCTTTGTGAATTGGGTCTGCAGTGTTGGAAAAAGAAATGGAAAATGAAATGAACAAAAAAAGTTTCATACAGAGGTGATGATGAGGCCTCGGCAGCTCTTGTCCATCTCAAGCTTTTCCAAGCTGATGCAAAACTCTGTGAGGAAGTCCAAACTGAGGCTATTGACGGGTGGACTCTTCATATGCATCACAGCCACGCCTACATAAGACATCAGATACACATACAAAAAAAAAAAGTGCGGCTGTTCACAAGAAAGTCAGTCTTAAAAAAAAAGACCTCTGGACAAATTAGAGATTGGCAGTTCATCGCAACTTAAACATGAGTTGGATGTTTTCACTTCATTTTTTTTTAATTCACCCGTTCCCAGCAGTTTAGACATTAATGGTTGTTGTTTTTTTTTTTTTTTTGGTTGTTACTCAGAGTATTACTAACAAAGTCATAAACACCTTCAATCAAGTTCAACATGACCTTCGCCACATTTGAATCAGTCTCGCAAATCACCTGTACTCTGGTCAAAATCCACAGAAATCTTTGACGATGTGGAGTTGCTTCTTTGCTGTGCGGCAAGCACGGTCGATGCACACACTCTGCCATGTCTGCTGCTGGAGGACGGCTGGGAAAGAAAGCCTGGACAGGACGCACGTGCAGACACCATGAAACCACCTACGGAGACATTTCTAAATCCACTCTGTTTAAAATGCGTAAGCGACACACGACAGCAGACGAGGCCTGCGAAATGTAAGTTCAAATATAAAACGTACATTATGCAAGGAGTTTATCGATAATAATAAGGAGGCTATCGTTCGAGTGCATCTCGGACGAGACCCTCTGTGACCCTTGCTCCGCATTCTGTGCGACACCTAACGGCACAACTAGACGAAGAGGACTTTCGCGCTAAGGCGGTCTTAAGTTGAGAACTAAAATGCAATGTGCTGCCTGCCGAGTGTAGCGATATATGCGCAACAAACCTGATAAAGCACACTTAGTCCTCAAAGCTGCTCTCAACGCCATTTTTTGCTCGCTGCTGCTGCTTGACGATGAATATCTAGCGCTTTGAATCCACAGTGGCCAATAGGTGGAATTACAGTTTCCGGGTTGATATTCCACCGTGGAAAAACACGGTTGTATGCGCGTGGTCGTGTGCGCGCGCGCGCGCGCGTGTGTGTGTGTGTGTGTGTGTGTGTGTGTGTGTGTGTGTGTGTGTGTGTGTGTGTGTGTGTGTAGATATAAAAATCTAGAGAGAGAGAAAGATGAAAGTACGTTTCGAAGTTACGAACGGTGACGTTTTGTGTTCTTGTTGTTTTTCCAATTGATTGTTTTATACTACTGTATTCTAAAAAGTTTCCCCCTCCTCTTCACACAAATATCGACTGGAGTTAAGAGCAAATTTAGTGAAGGTTCGTGACAGACACCAGGATGACACCATCGTTGAAGTTATCCATCCCTGCTGTAATTGATCATTCAGAATCTGAATCCGGTCCTGTTAAATTAACTTGGATACCTATTCCAATATCGGCCAGGCCGTATTGGGGTATCGATATCCAAATATCGATCCATCCTACTCTGGCGTATGTAACATAAATAAATAGCGGAACCATGAAAGGTGGGCGCGTGTGAGAGAGTGGTCAGATCATCCTGTAGGTGTCGAAGTGACAGCCAGAACTCGAGCGTGTCTCTGGAGGGGTGCCACGCACAGAGGCTTCGCTTGACCAGTAAGTATCACTTTTGACTTGAGAAGATTCTGTTTTTATTGTTTTGCAAGTGCAATTCAAAATCTCTTGAAAGAATAGAGCTCTACTGGACGGTCGTTGCAAATGAGGTTGTGGTGATGCTAATAATGACGGGCTCTGATTTAAAAAAAAAACAAAAAACAAACAACATAAAAATGATGATTTGCAGAATTTGACCATCTAGCCAGATTAGACATATTGTACATTGGGTCCTTCCTCCAGTACAGTATAAGATCCATACATAAAATGACATGTTATTTATTGGATTGAGTTTTCTGCATTTCTTTATATTCATGAAGAGAATTTTGACGTTTAAATGTGCACAGCTTTAACTACACTTTTGTATCAAGTAGTTAATTCCAGTGAAAATGTTTGAATCTATAAACTTGACTAAACAAACAAACAAACAAAAAAGCTTTGCTCCACCCTGAACATGCACTGAATGTGATTGAGCGGGAAATCCATCCATCAATGTGCGTCCTGCTGCTTTCTCTGTGTTGTTTTTCTTTGAAAGATCACCCCGTGAAATAATGGATCTAATGGAGTCGGAGGACATGGGCGGCGGCTGTGAAGAGAAGAACTGTGGCCCAGCGTCAGCCTTTCTGGAGGACTGTTCCAGCCAAGATTGCGATTGGGATCAACCTCTGTTTGGATTCACTGAGCTGGGTTTGTACTTTGTGTTTGTAGCAGTAGGAAAAGATTTTTTTAAAATATATATGTATATTTATATATATTCTTTGTAATAGTAATACAGTAATAGATTGTTATGACCATTAAAAATCATTGAGGGCAAACTGCATACGCGTGACCAAAATAGCTTTTAATAAGCTAAGAGGCAAGACAGCCAATTTGGGGGGGGGGGGGGGGGGGGGGGGGGGGAGAAAATCACAGCAAATAGCAAACCAGTAACAAGTGGAAGAAATGACACTCCCAAGAATCATAATACTGGATTCAATGAATTGTGCTCACATGCAAACAGGCATATGAAGCAAAACTGGCTGAGGGAAAGGAGGCCTTTCTTTTCATTTCTAGTGGGCGTGACGATCATCTACATTCCCCTACTGCTGTTTGGTCTCCTCGGAAATGTCCTCACAATTTTAGTGGTTTGGCTACGTCCGCACATGAGGAGTTCTTCCTACTTGTACCTGAGCAGCATGGCTGTGAGTGATCTGATGATACTCCTGCTCCTACCTCTGGATCTCTACAAGGTACGTCTTCGGCATGGCTTTGTTGTATTATTTTGTGTACACGGTTGCTTTCCTGAAATCGAAATACATCAGGCAATCCAATGCAAAACATTGGCTTGGATGTGTGTCGATTTTTTTTTTTTTCTTTTTGAATAAAACTAATTACAGTCCAATCTCCGGTCTGAACGTATCACACAGCGAACCCACGCGCGCGCAAACATGCCGGGAGATGTCAGAGTGACAAATGACAGCAATGGCGACGATCGGCATGCGAACACGCACCGGAGTAACTTGTTTGTCTTGAATGGCAAATGAGTGTATACTGTCCATCAAACAAAGGAAACTTATGATGTCCAGATTAGGTTTCATCGTCATCATCCGAATCGAATTGCATGGCTGTGTAAAATGATCAGTTTGAAGACGCCGTATTTCAAATCGGGTGTCTGTAATTTCGAGGAAAAAAAATTGGCGTTCCTGAAAGAATTCAAAAGGGAAAAAAAAAATTTTCTTGTGAGCACATTCCCCCCATCAGGCAATTTGGGACAAGCAGTGACCGTGTTGCTTTCTCTCACAGCTATGGAAGCCCAGACCGTGGCCCTTCGGAGACCTGGCCTGTAAGATGACCATGTTCCTGTCCGAGTGTTGCACCTTCTGCACCATCCTGCACATTACCTTCCTCTCCCTGGAGAGATATGTGGCAGTCTGCTGGCCAATGACAGCAAAGACATTGGTAACGCGCCGCAGGACCAGGGCTCTCATCGGCTGCCTGTGGCTGGGCGCCGCGGTCAGCGCGGCGCCGGTCTTGGTGATGGTTGGGGTCGAGGAGGTCGGACAAGAAGATCTCAGGCTCGGCGGTTGGAGGGAGAACGCGAGGTGGATGGGCGAGGACGGAGAACCGCCGGGCTTCGCACCGGCTGCGGATGAGGGAGGACGTCCGTCGTCTTCGTTTGAGGGAGAACGAGAGGAACGAAAATGGGGAGAGCGAGAGAGGCGGCGTGAAAGGGTCAGAGAGTTGAAATTGTTCGATGAGGAAGAAGAAGGAATGGAAGCAGTCGGTGAGCCGAACAAAAAACACGCAGGTGAAATCAGAAATGAAACGCAAGAGGACGCCACGGGAGGCCAGCAAAACAAAATGAAAGAAGACGAAGGAGGAGGATGGGAAGCGAGTGTCGCCGGACACGCCGCCGACAGAAGAGAGTGCCGCTGCACGCAATACGCCATTTCCTCTGGCCTCCTGTCCGCCATGATGATTGTGTCCAACCTGTACTTCCTGGTCCCGGTCTGCGTCCTCGCACTGGTCTACGGTATGATCGGAAGGACACTTTGGCTGCGCCCTCAGAGCAGCCGCAGAGACCAAAGTCATCGGCACGCCGTCAAAATGCTCGGTGAGGAAAAGCCACACTTGCTCGGCCAGCTCAAGTTTTCTTTGTCCTCATATTTGCCATTTGTGGATGCAGATTTTCTTTTATTTGTCCCCACAGGAGTGATCGTGATGGCATTTGTCCTCTGCTGGCTGCCCTTCCACATTGGTCGGACGATATTCGTTTTCTCCCTGGGCACCGGTGCCGACCAACAGAATCTCGACACTGATGAATCCATCGACAACGTCGGCGCCGTTACGGAAGGTGCTCGAGCAGACTCGCGCGTCAATTCGAAACCGCCTTATTCTTACGAACCACCCACCAGAAGTCAACAACTGCACCCACGCGGACTTCCAAAAGATTCAGCTCGCCCCCAACCGTCACCGCTTACAGATAAGACGAGGCGATATAACAGCAGCACCGCGAACTCCAAACTATATCACGCGACCCGGGCGCAAACGGCTCAGGGCTCACACGAGAGCGCACGTCTGAGTTCCCGTCACTCGGGGCAGAGCGCCACCCTCGACGCGGCCTCAACAAGCGACGAGACGCGTCAACGCAGCTGCGGTTTGCGCACCGCGACTCCCGCGGGGCAAAGCAACGACACGCGCTTGGCGAAGGAGCCACGCGGTGACTCGCCTTTGTATTTTCTCTATTATCTGTCGCAGTATTTCAACCTGGGCTCCTCCGTGCTCTACTACCTGAGTGCTGCTGTCAATCCCTTGCTGTACAACGTCATGTCAGCCAGATACCGACACGCCGTCCGCGGTCTCCTGCGTAGGAGCGCACGCTCGCAAAGACGGGACCAACGTTTGCGGACGCTTGACACCCAGCGCGCCACTTTGAACATGTAAGGCTTGAATTGCTCCCCTCATGTTGAAAAACGTTCCCTCGTTCAACTTGAAACAAAGTACTCACAGAAAATTGGGGATATTCCACTTTTGGATGAGATTTCAGAATACGCTCGTAATCTTGGTCCATGAATCAATCAATTACATTAGCCGATTAAATAATATATCGATATATATTTTTGACACTTCCCCATTTCATATACCAAATTCTGCCCTGCTAAATTCGATTAATGATACCTTGACGTGGCTTCAAACTGAATTTTCTCAGTGGGAAGCGGAGACTGAACTTGATGTTTGATGGAGTGTCATCAGCAGCTCGCAAAAAGGATGCAAACAGAAAGGCCGACAAGTGCAAATACAACAGTCGATTGATGGATCAGACCACAGTTTTTTTTTTGCCCTTTGGCTCCTTGTTTGGGAAAATAGTGCACAAAGTACCAAAACGACAAGAAGGCCGAATTAAGTTCACCTGTCGGTTCATTTCGAAATTTCACCCCAAAGCAGAGAATCCCGAACATGAGGTGTGTAGAGCATGTTTATTTCGAAATGATCGTTTGGAAATTGCTGTCTAATCAATCGAATCAGTCATGCAAATCCTCTTTGCCCCCTCCTGACCCAAACCACTGCAGCAGGCTCATGTTTTTGGAACCGCTGATTGTCATTCCTCCATTTTTAATATCAGGCACGTGTTGATGTTTTTCCAGGAGGGCCGAATGTGCCGCGCGCCCTCGCCGAACACATTTGACACACGGCACACGATTTTGCGCTTATTGTATTGCATGCTGGACACACCGCTGAATGCCTTTATTGGATTCTCCCCCGCCACCATAACGGCGTTGTTCCCGCGTTGTCGGCTTCGCGATGGTTTTCCTGAAGTTTGGAAAAAACGGAGCGGCCTCGGGCGAAAGGACAATTGATTGGATTGGATTTGTGAGCCGGGCTCTTCCTGACATTGGCTGTTGATGTCTTGTTCCAGAGCAACAACATTCATCGATAAAATTGAGAGTGACTTCTCAGATGAGTGGGGAAATCATTCACCTTTATAGTTTGCTGTCACATGACATCATATCGCACACCAAGATCATTGCAGGACACAAAAGCCGTCGGGTACTGCGTCTGACTTTTTTTTTTTTTTTTCTTCAGTGGCCATACGATTGCAAATGTTGCTGTTGTCAAAATGATGTACGGCAGTGGGCCTCGCCGTGTTCGTAGTACAGCACAGTCGTTTTGCTCGAGCGTATTCGTCCACAGTTTGTCACGGACTTTAAGACGGACATCAAAGATATTGACCAAAATCTCAAACGTTATTCTACATGTTGAATTGTCATTTTAGTTGTGATTTGTTGGTACGACGTCTGTGTACATTATATTAGTTCATCCACATACCGTGTAAATGTCTTTCATTTATTTTTTTTATCAGATGCCGACGTAAAATAAGGATTAAAACATTGTTATGGGTCAAGTCTTGGACCTGGATGAGTGATAATGAGTGGTACTGACACTTCACACCACTAGATGACGCTGTGGTCCATGTATTCATTCAGGGCAAAGCAAAAAAACGGACGCTGTGGAAAACAGCTTTTTTGCTTCAATTGGAATCTGGTTATAAATCGTTCAATAATAATATTGTCAGAGTGTCTATTAAAGACACCAAAAAGTAATTTTAGTCATTTGTTTCTAAATACATCAAATGTGAGGATGCAGACTGAGAACAATAATGTGGTATTGAGCGTCATGTCATGATGGTGATATTTACTGTTAGATCTGCAGGGGTGGAGAAAATGGCCAGCACAGTGGTTAGCACATCCGTCTCACAGTGCAGAGGCGCAGGGTTCGAATCCGGGCTCCGGCCTTCCTGTGTGGAGTTTTCACGTTCTCACCGTGTCTGCGTGGGTTTTCTCCGGGTACTCCGGTTTCCTCCCGCGTTCCAAAAACATGTATGGCACGTTAATGGAACACTCTCAATTGTCCTTAAGTGTGACTGAGAGCGCAAATGGTTGTTTATCTCTGTGTGCCCTACGATTGGCTAGCGACCAGTTGAGGGTGTAACCCCGCCTATTGCCCGAAGGCAACTGGGATAGGCTCCAGCATGCCCCGCAACCCTTGTGAGGAGAAGCGGGTCGGTGGATGGATGAATGGATAATTGTACTCCTTGAGGCACAATACCCCCCTACCTCCACTGTGAACAATCAGTGGGTGCCACTTTCATCTTCAATATGATGCAAGCGTGTATCAGATGTCTCTTTCCTTGGAGGTCTACACCGAGTCCAACTGTGAGAACTTGGGAAGAAATATGCATTTTCATTTATACTCTGCAGTCTCTCCAGTTGCGTACAACATTGCATCATAACGGCGCTCGAGCAATTGGCAAAAATAAAATAGCACTTCACGGCGCACGGTACAGTGGGGAAATCAGCCGTGTGTTTCTCCCCTACTGATACAGATTCAATCAAATCTTGGTGCGTTTGCGTGGCCCCCAACACCGTTAAGCAGGAGACGATTTCGACGGACCGAAGACCTCAATGAATCTAACGTCACCGCGGGTGCAATTTGGATAGACACGCGCGCCGCGTGATATACCGCTCACATGGGGCGCCGCCTATTTGAAAGACAGCGCACAGTCACGACTCACCGGAAAACCCTTCGATTCTCCCTTTTCATCCGAGAAGAATGCGCAGACGATTTCATTGTGTCCCCAAGCTCGGTGCCGAGGACCGCACCCGGTGGCGGCCTCGGCTGTGAGAGGGAGAATGCCAATGAGCATTAATTATGGAACAGTAAGAACAACGGGGGCGCTCCTGGAGTTTGATGCTGCCCAACGACTGTGCCAATAAGATCACCGATGAAGTGGGGGATGAAGAAAACGCAGGAGAAAGACATCACGAGAGAAAGTCTTCATCCAGATTTACAAAAATGGACCGTGCATTTTCGATCCCGCTTGATCTCATTCGGGTCACGGGTGAGATGTGTTACGATTCCGGAAGAGTCCGGAACAGAATCGAATCCCACAAACGCAGACAAGGATAAGATCGGTCACAAAAATGTTGATTCAAGAGAAAAATAAGTACAACAGAGGACGCTGGTGACAGCATGTCTGTTATTTGGGTTCGTCTGAATTCCATCACGGGTAGCTTACCTGATGATTCTAATGACGAAGGTTCCCAAAAGGTGCGCTGAAGAGCAAAGGATGCTTTTGTTATTCGGCGAATGCTCATTCTTTCGTTCCACGACCTTATGGATCCACACGCCTTATTGACAAGTGGAAATGAGGTCGGGTGACGAAGCACGATGAAAATAAAATGGAAAAGCAATGTATCCCCCAGGAAGGAATAGTGATTTTGACATGAAAAGCAAAGTCATGTAGATTAAAATAACGACTGTTGACTCTACAAGGTAAGATGACGAGCGGGGCGGGGGGGGGGCAAGTCCGGAGGATGGGATGGGCAAGGCAAGGCCCACCGGGACCCAAG